ACCTTGATACAAACTGAAGAATTGAATAGCTGTAGTTCATTGATCTCTTGTCATTATAATGGATAATCATATTCCCAAGTTATTTCATCATTGGCTTTTCAAAATATGACTCCCAGCCCAGTGAACTTCCCAGAGGGAAGGCCTGCCTTGTTCATCACTGTTTCCTCAGCTTGTAGAACAATATTTAGCACATAGAAGGTTCTAAGCCAAATTGTATGAAATGAGTGAATGCATGGCTAAATGAACAAATATATCATTTTGCTTTAGAACAGGGCTTTGTGAAATGGGTGATCTGGTATTGTGTATACAAATCAGTCAAGAATTTCATCTTCATCGAAAGACATAGGCTTATCTTTTATATCCAGGAAGTTATAGTTCCTTAGGGCAGAAACTTCTGACAATGCTTGAAGTGACAACATTATAGTACCAGAGCTGGTGTTACCACCATATTATCAATTTCAGAGTTCCAAAATTCTAAGCGTCCCTGGGTGTCCTACATGGTTAACATGTTTGGCTGCTGATTGAGGAGGTTCGAGGTCCCAGTCCACCCAGAAGTGCTTTGGAAGAAAAACCTGGTGATTCTTCTAGAAAAACTCAGCTACTGAAAACTCTATAGTGTACAGTTCTACTCTAACACACATAGGATTGCTGTGAATTGGAATCAACTCCTCGGGTTTTCCTGATCACAACTGATAGGATATACTTTTTGAAATTCTTAAGTTGCTTTACTGTCACTGTAAACCAGGGTTTCTCAACCCTTGGCACTGCTGATGTTTGAGCTGAACCTTTGTTGTAAGGGTCTCTCCTCCGCACTGTAAAATGCTTAGCAACATTACTCTTCTCGTGAAATAATATTACTACTACTCATTCCACTCCCTCTCTGTTGTGTCAATGAGCAACGTCTGCAGACATTGCCAAATGTCTTCTGGGAAACAAAACTATCCCTGCTTGAGAAGTGCTTCTCTCAACTGACACCTATTGTCATGGTAACTGTACACATTGCTGACATGGGTTTGGAACCTCTCATTGACTCTCCCCTACTTTGGCTCTTAACCATGCACCTAAACTGTTGCTTCTCTTCAGAAGTATCTATAGGAAATCAAATTATACGATGAGAAACTAATGTCAGATACAAAAAGTGGTCTTTTCTCTGTGGTCTTTCAGTTCACCTGTGCTTCCCAGAAACGCTACACACTTTGGTCAAATGGAAAACAAAACAAAACACTGTGATGCTATTTTTCCAGTGAACACAGAAGTTCTCAAAAGTAACTAGATTTGGACAGGTGGGATTTGGAGCCAAAGTGAAGGCAGTCTGCAGTGGAAGTCTACATGCATGTTGTTGGTTTGAATAAAATCTGAAATAATTGCATTGACTATACTGCCTTCCTTCATCCAAAGAGGGCTGAGGAGAGAAATGCAGTTGAAGCTAACTGGCTCAATTTGTCCTTCTGCCCCAATTTTGCAAAGACTCTTTCTAACCTGATGATTATCCAGTATTTATAGTTGTTGTTGTTAGGTGCCGGTGAGTAGGTACCAACTCATAGCAACCCTATGCACAACAGAATGAAACACTGCCCTGCCCACCATCAATTTCACCATCATTTCTTTGCTTGGGTACATTGCTACTGCCATAGTGCCGATCCATCTCATTGGGGGACTTCGTCTTTTTTGCAGACCTTCCACTTTACTAAGCATAATGTCTTTCTCCAGGACTAGTCTTTCCTTATAAAATGTCTGAAGTATGAGACACGAAGTCTGGCTATCCTGTCTTCTAGGGAGCATTTTGGCTATACTTCTTCAAACACAGATTTATTTGTTCTTTCATGGTCCATGGTAATTTTAATATTCACCTCCAACACCATAACTCAAATGCATCAGTTCTTCTATGGTCTTTCTTATTCATTGCCCAAATTCCACATGCATATGAGATTATTGAAAATCCCATAACTTGGATCAGGAGTACCTTAGTCCTCAAACTGACATCTTTGCTCTTGAACACTGTGAAGAAGTCTTGTGCAACAGATTTGCCTAATGTGACTTCAATGAGTGTTGATGGTTGATCCGAGCCAAATGAAGTCTTTGACAACTTCAATCTTTTCTCCATTTATCTTGTTGTATATGTAGTAGGCAGGTCCATTTCTCTAAAATGGGGTCAAGTTCTTCCCAGCTCCCTCTCCACTCTTAGATAAATGAACAAATTACTCAACCAGGGTCAATCTGAGTATCCCAGCATGAGCTGAGATGGGAACTCCACTCACAACTCTTCACTCACAAGCTGTGAGATATTAAACCACTCTCTTCATCTGTAAAATGGCTTTTCGGTGTAACAAGAATTAGTACTACCATACCCCACAGGACTTTTGTGAAAACACAATGAACTCACAAGTATAAAATTCATAAGGAGTTACAGTGTTCTGCAAGGTATAGTTACCATTGTTATTCATTAAAAGTTTGTGTGGGAGAGGGTGTGAAGTCAAAAGTCACAATAGCTACAGGGCTTCCAGGAGCTCCTGTGGCATTGTAGGATAAACACTAGACTAGTAACCGAAAGGTTGGCAGTTCAAACCCATCAGCCACTCTATGTGAGAAAGGTAAGGCTTTCTTTCCAAGTGAAGATTTCCAGCTTTGGAAGGCTTATGTAGTGTTGCTATGATTTTAAGTTTCTTGATGGGCTTTTGAGACCTCTTGTGACTGTGACGTATGAATCATAGCATTGTCCATGTTTCAGGATCACATGCTTAAGGAAAGGAGAGAAGAAGTAGAGAGTGCCTGGAATGTCTACTTGTATCTATTCTCATACAAAGGACAAAGTATAATCATTGTTGTTGTTGTTAAGTGCCATCAAGTTGGTTCTGACCCACTCCCAAGGAGCAGCTAGTGAGCTTGAACCATGACTTTGCAGTTCAAAATGACTTTGCAGTCTGGCGCATTAATCCACAGCGCCAAACCAGGACTCCATTACATGCAATCATATAAAGATTACTGAGTCTGACCTCGGTAGTGCGTCTGTCCTGATTTCATCACCCACTGTCTCTGTGACTTTAGCTAAGTCAGTCAGTCTCTCTGTGCCTCAGTTTTCTCATCTGTAAAATGGGAGTAATAAGTGCCCACCTTCTCAGTGTGTTGTGACAAACAGGCGTGACGATGTGCATACCATGTGGTAGCTGAGAGAGTGGGCTCTGAGCCCGAAATCCTGGGTTCACCATTCAGCTACTCTGCTTCCCAATCGAGCAAGTTACTTGCCTCATGCTCTTCATTGAAAACACCGTGATGGTAATAGACGCTACCTCGCAAGATTGTTTCAAGTATTGGCAAGCCCTCAATAAATGCTGCTAGCGTGATTCATAGAACACGATATGCATGAATACATGTTAGCATCTGTGATGCGTGATCATTATTATTGCTACTGTTTTGTTATTCTGTGTTCTGTCTAGCCCACTCACTGCAATTAAAGGACATTTTGTATACAGCTTAAGCTGTAACTTCTGAATAGTCATAAAATACTGTCTCCCTGAACAAATTCCATCCCCTGGGTATTGCCGGCTCACTTTCACCAGTGGCAAGGTGAGACCATGCCTCCGCAGTAAATCACTGCAGGATAGGAGAGTCAGTAACACGCCTCAGGGATGAGCAATGAAACACTCCAAGCAAATGGGCACACAGCTCAAGTCTACACTCAACAGGAGCGGTTCTCTTTTTGAGTCAGTTGAAAAAAAAAAAAAAAAAAAAGCAAAAAACAGTTGCCATGGAGATGATTCCAACTCATGGAAGCCCTCTGTGTGTTAGAGTAGAACTGTGCTCCATTGGGTTTTCAGTGGCTGATTTTGTTTTCTTCTGGTGACTCAGGGTGGACTGGAATCAACTAATTTTTAGGTTAGAAACCAGTGCGTTAATCATTGGCACCTCCCAGGGAGTCCCCCAGTTGGTTGGTTGTTAGGTGCCATCCAGTTTGTTTCAATTCATAGCAACCCTGTATAGTGTTTCCAAGGCTGTAAATCTCTGCTGGAGCTAAAACGTCTCATCTTTCTCTCATGGAGTGACTGGTGGATTTGAACTACTGACCTTGTGGTTCACAGTCCAGGGCTTATTGTACATACTCTCCCCGGTCAGTTTGAACCCTAGTGTTTCCTTTACTCATTAAAAAAGAACAAGCCTGAGAGGAAGTGAGAAAGTATGGTCAGATACACAGAAACACTTACTGGCATCAAGACAGCGGAAGAGCCCGGCATTGTAGGGTTGGGCAGGGTCCCGGGCATGGAGGCTGGCATGGGCTGTCTCTGTCTGTTGTGGAGGTGGAGCAGAGAAGATAGAGAGCCTGGAACAGGCCTAGGAACAAAGAAGACATGTCATTAGTCCTAGTGCCCTGAGCAAGGGATTTACAGACCAGCAGAGACAATCCCATCACATGTCCGACAGATCAGACCCACCAGCGCGAGAACCACATCATTAAGGATATTAGGGAAATCATCACAAATAAAACACAAGCCTGGTTTCCTTTGCTGCTTCCTACTTAATATATCAAATTCCACTTCATTTCCTGGCCTGTTATCTAACTGATGCTCCATAGACAATAAGTGAGTGAATCTCCTACACCCCATATCACAGGAAAGAGACTTTGGGGTAAAATCCTGTGTTTTCTCAGAAGTGTCTCAGAGCTGAGATCTGTACCCACTTGTTTCATTCACATACCCCCACACCTCTGCCTGGAGGCCTGATTAGCTTTGCTTTGCATTTTTCAAGATATAGTTCTCTCTATGGATTAGCAGAGCAAACTTCATTCTTGAATTCCCAATAGAAATCCGTTTTGATTTTTTCATAGTTCTCTACTGTGAGTCAGGAGGGAAAGCGAAGACAAGAAAGGGAACCCAGCGAGGACCCGAAGCAGCTGAACTGCGGCTGAAGGAGCTGCAGCCCCGCTTTCTCTCTGAGAGCCCTTGGCCCCCAATTACCAATCACTCATTTTATAATAACTCGAGGTGTTAGGCTGTTTGACAGAAACTGATTTTGGCCTGACCTGACAGACTTGGGTAAGCATTCTCGGGGGAGTACATAGTTGGAGCATTTGATTCAATTTACCAGATTTTTTTTTCTTTTTATTTTTTTAAAGGGACTTAAGTTGATTTAATGAGCCAGGGAATATGGAACTGATGGAAAGGGTATTATTTATGTTTATCAAAAATGTCAAGCAAGTGATCTCCCATGCCTTTGCTCAGGGGAGCTGTAAAAGTATCAAACTGTTGAAGATTTAGCAACAAACAAATAAACAAGAACCCTTGGGGTGCAGTGGGGTTGAGGCCTGAGTCTTTCATGTTCAAAACCTTATCCTGAATGCTGCACTATAAATCAGTGCTTCCAGAATGAATGCATTTTCTCAAAGCAAATCAAAACAAAACAGAACTCCCTTGGGCTGGGTAATAGCAGCAGACAGTGAGGTTTTATGTAGGCAAATGTCTTCAGGTGCTTTTTACAGACCATTCCCAACCTAGTCCCTTCCTAGTCTATGACCCAGTGGAGCACCTAGAAGTGCTCTTCTTGGGGTTTGCTGGTCTCCCATAGGTGACTCATGGAGAAAGGCCAAGAAGCGAGAGACTGAGATGCAGAAAGGAATGCCAGTGAAGTCTTCTTTTACATTACTGCAACCATCCCCAAGACGATGAAGTTTTTCACTCTTTGGCGGAGAGTGTCTTTGGAAGTATAGCTAGTTGTTTCAGTTAGACAGATCGGAGAAGAATTCATCATAAGTTGGTTGGTTGGTTCGTTATGTGCCGTGGAGTAGGTTCTGACTGATAGCAACCCTGCATTAGGTTTCTGAGAGTTTAAATCTTTATGAGAGCAGAAAGCCTCATTTTTCTCCCATGGAACAGCTGATATTTTTTAACTGCTGACCTTTAGGTTAGCATGTTGTTGTTGTTGTCAGGTGCCATTGAGTCGGAACCGATTCATAGCGA